TAAGGTAAAAAATACTCATCGTTTACTGATAATAAGCCAGAGAAGTTCAGGTATCATTTAACACTGAAATTCAAAATAATATCTAAATATCTCTAACATCTAAAATAGTATCTAAAGAAACTGAATCCAAGAGTAGAGCAGTTTACAGTGTAGTTTAATTTAAGGTAAAAAATACCCATCGTTTATTGATAAGCAGCCAGAGCTGTTTAGAGATCATTTAGCACTGAAATTCAAAATAATATCAAAATATCTATAATATCTAAAATAGTATCTAAGGAAACAGAGTCCAGCTGTAGTGCAGTTTACAGTGTAGTTTAATTTATGGTAAAAAGTACCCATCGTTTACTGATAAGTAGCCAGAGAAGTTCAGGTATCATTTAGCACTGAAATTCAAAATAATATCTAAATATCTATAATATCTAAAATAGTATCTAAAGAAACCGAATCCAGGTGTAGTGCAGTTTAGAGTGTAGTTTAATTTAAGTTAAAAAATACCCATCGTTTATTAATAAGCAGCCAGAGCTGTTCAGGTATCATTTAGCACTAAAATTAAAAATAATATCTAAAATAGTATCTAAAGAAACTGAATCCAAGTGTAGTGAAGTTTACAGTGTAGTTTAATTTAAGGTAAAAAATACCCATCGTTTATTGATAAGCAGCCAGAGCTGTTTAGGTATAATTTAATGTCCCGGATATTCCAACAGACCTCAGCCAGTTCCTGAGGAAGAACGTCATTCTGTTGACGTCCATCCCAGTTTTTTGTGCTATAACTGAGTTTTGACATTTAATTAGCATGAAATGGTTTCTCATGCTACAATAAATTCCAGCAAACCATGAAATGCAGAGGATGTGGCCTCATTCAGTCTTACGCAATCAGTGTGACGGGGCTGGAAAATAAGGTTTCATTTATCATATCCGATAAAAAAAATTAAAAATCCAGAGTTGATAACCCTTTAAAGCCCGATCCCCCAAAAAATAGGAAGATTATTGGATTGTTTTTTTTAGTCTGAAGTCTTTCTTTGGCCCCTCAACAACATATGAAGAAAAAAAACAGAAATTATTTTGATCAAATTAGCGTGCAATAAGTCAGAAATATAAGTTGGTGTGGTCTTCTACTGGCTGTTATCAGGTATATCTGAATGTGTACAACAGGGGTTTGAGCAAAGCTTTTACCACTGAATGATGCAGAAAGTCTCACATCCAAAAGAAACCGGATCAGATATGACACATTTGGCTTTATAGGGTTAAACATTTCCGTATTGATAAAGGTCAATAAGGTACTGTGTGAACCCTAAAATCAACATACAGGTAGTGGTAAATAAAAATAAATCTGGTCAGGCTCTAGAGAGATGAGTTCTATATGTAAAGAACTTTTCTCAAGTTTGAGGAATGTGGTGGGAAAACTGAGTTTTGGTTTTATAGGGTTAAACATTTGCGTTTTGATAAAGGTCAGTAAGGTACTGTGTGAACCCTGGCATTATAGGGTTAAACTAAACTAAAAAAACTAAGCTAAAAAATTAAAAATCCAGAGTGGATAACTATCATTGTGCGTGTAGGAATGAGCCTGAATGTGGAGGCAGTGGCGACCTGAGTCTGCGGTTTCTGGCTTTTTTCAGACTCAGTCTGACCACCACAATGACCCACAAAAAAAAAAAAAACAGCAATCTGGTTCCCTTCACAGCACCTACTGGAACAAAACTTCAGACCCTCAAACACATTCCCCCTCATGATCCACCAGAGATGTTCAGTAACAAAGTAGAACTACTTAAGTACTGTACTTAAGTACCAAAATGCAGTATCTGTACTTTATTGGAGTATATATATTTTCTCTACTTTTACTTTTACTCCACTACATATTTTGGATTAGTTGAATACTTTTACTCCGATCGATTTTTCACGTGCTGAATCGTTACTGGTTACTGATTTGTAAACGTAATGATAGATAGCTCTGTCAGGGTTTGGGAAGCTGGCTCCTCATTGGCCGATTTGAGCTATCAATATAGCCTATAAAAAAAAAAAAGCCTCTTGAAAGATTGCCAAATCCTGACCTTCAAAAATCCCCCATCTAATCTGAAGAAGCATATCAATATAAGTTAAAAAATACAATGACATTTAAGATAGTAAATAAGGCTAGTTCAGTTCTCCCTGTTCACTCAGGACGTAGCAGCTAACGTTAGCTAAAGCTAACCTAGCTGGCTAGCTGTATGATACCGTTAGCTAAAGCTAACCTAGCTGGCTAGCTGTATGATAACGTTAGCTAAAGCTAACCTAGCTAGCCAGCTGTATGCTACATGCTAGCATAAAGGCTCAGCTCAGGATTCTGACTGGAATAATAAATAATAGTAGATGAAGTGCTGTTGATGCTAATGCAGATGTAGTTTTCTGTTTTTGTAAACACCTGTATGGCCTTTCACACGTTTGAAATAATATAAACAATATCTATCACACTTTTGACTGCCTTTTTTAATATACACAGTACTTGTAATTTTACTTGTACTCGATACTTGAGTAGCAATTTTGGAAATACTTCTACTTGCAATACTTAAGTACAAAAAAGTGGAGTACTTCCATACTGAAAGAATACTTCTACTTTTACTCAAGTAAATGTTTTTATATAGTACTTGTACTTCTACTCCAGTACTTTATACATCTCTGTGATCCTCAGACTAAGTTGTGAACCTTTCCATCCCCTCAGTCTCCACATCCCAGAACTGACAACATAACGATTTTTCCAGGTTTTCCCATGAAAGCCTGTTGCATGGTGGGAAACGACAGATTTGAAGTCCAGCAGGAGAGTTTCATTTTAGGAGATTTGACAGAGCTAGCAGAAGGATTTTTCCCCTCTACTTTGCCACTGCGCTGCTGGCAGGGAAAAGACTCTTATTCAGAGCAAGAGAGACAATTTAGACTCTCAGAGCCATTCTGGATCCTGCTATTGTAAATCACAACAAGCAGTAAAATATAATTACAAACCATGAAAACCCTGAGCTGAGCAACCCGTGGTTTGGAGGGATGACTGTTATCATTATCATGTGATGGTGCGAAAAAGAGTCAAGAGGCCAAACTTTTGCAAAAATCCCAGGACATGAATGCAAGTGAATGTTCTTCTTACATTATTTTGACATAAAAAAAACCCAGTAAAACCCTTAACCCTATAAAGCCAAATGTGTCGTATCTGATCCGGTTTCTTTTGGATCTGAGACTTTCTGCATCATTCAGTGGTAAAAGCTTTGCTCAAACCCCTGTTGTACACATTCAGATATACCTGATAACAGCCAGTAGAAGACCACACCAACATAGATTTCTGACTTATTGCACGCTAATTTTGATCAAATTAGCGTGC